GTCTACTAAATAGTTGCAGAAATATATCTTAGCAAGCTTTCAGGTTGAAAAACCCTTCATCAGGCTGAGGAAGCATCTGCAGTTAGTGTGTGTGCTCTTTTTGGATGAAAGGAATAGTAAAGAAACCAGAGGCTGGCATGCAGGCAAGAAAGCCAATCTGCAGAAATGTAAATGGACACATCAGGGGGTGAGAGACAGGCTGGAGGAGTGGTGGGAGGGGGGTGTAGCAGGTAAAAGTGGAGAGGTACCTGGAGAGTCAGATGTCAGGCAGTTTATAGTGTCATAAATTCAGTGTCTATATTGAATCCATGAGTTTCCGTATCTAGGAGGCTGATGAAGTGAAGTTCATAGGCCCATCTGTGAAAAGTGTTTTGTAAATTCCTTTTGAGGACCAGGACTGAGAGATTGGAGAGAGAGTGGCTTTCTTGTGAGAAATTTGTCCCCACAGGTAGTTGGGTATTCTTGTCTGTAACAGATTTCCTTTGTGCATTCATTCTGGTGCGCAGTTGCTTTTGGGTGTCTCCTGTGTATTTTCCATCAGGGCACTTGGAGCACTGGATGAGATATATAACGTTTCTGGAGGTGCAGGTGTAAGATCCAGGAATGGTAATGGTTCTGTTGTAGGGTGTAGTTCTTCCATCCAGGAAGAGCACACACCAACTGCAGATCCTTCCTTAGCCTGCGGAAGGGTTTTTAAACCCAAAAGCTTGCTAAGATATATGTCTCCAACTACTCAGTTGGTTTAATAAAAGATATCAGACTGACCCAAATAACCTTGTCTGCCGATGTCCTTAGACCAACACGACTACAATCTACACACACCTCGTAACATGCACAAGTGTCACAAGTTTTTCTTTGAACAGTTTGAGGTTCAGTCTCACAGAAACCCCTGCGCTTATTTCTTTGAAACTTGCCAGGCTTCATGGCCTCAGAAGGGGCTACCATATCTTCTGTTTTCATCATAATCAGCCCCAAAATGACAAAGTTATAGGTATTTTAGTGATAGCCCATTAAGTCTATGGCTGAATCTCCAAATCAGTGTCGAAATTCCAAAACAGATTCAGCCGAATCGAATCAGGACAGTAATCCAAAACACCAAAGCAAATCACTGTCCCTCTGAAATGGGCAAATCTGAATTGGAACAGAGCTGTTTCACACAGCCCTAATAAGCATCTCTGACAAATGAAAAAACAGGCGTCCAAATGTGTGTGCTCATCCAATTTATGAACTTATTTCCAAGGGTCATCTTAGAGAACATATTTCACATGTAACCATAATACTATGTTATTATTTTAACTCAATCAATAGTTGCGTCTGCATCAAAAGAAAATGTGACCACCTCTTCAAGTTCTTTCTCACAAAATCAATAATTTCAATTAGCTTATTTGTGCTATCAGCAGAGTATCACCAATTGCTGTTTCCCACTAGATACTTTCCCCTGAAGGTAAAAGCTAACAAAAGTACTATCTATACTACTGAAGGAAAAAGGGACATTTCTGAAACAAGCAAATGTTAATAGAAAGACATTATTGTACTGTAGACACAATTCTGATCTACATAACAGAGTACTTGTCTGCACTTACATGACAGAAATAGCAGATAATTTAAATAGGTAATAGCAAAAATTAGGTAGATTATGATGGTTGCTTACATTATTTTCACACTTACACAAAGTTTGAATCAACGCAACTCCCTTGTTTCAGTGGAGATATCCTGTTCTGAATAGATATAAATTAGAGACAAATGCATTCCCATAGTGATATTTTAGCCTTTTCCTCTTCAATTTTATGTCTTTTCTAGCTTAGTAGCTATACCATAAAATTTCCAATTTCAAAGACTAATGACTAACACACCTTTATCTATGTAATATAAAGCAAGATAGAACTTTTATGTCCCCATCTATAAAGCGAATCCTCTAAAGAGTATCAATTTTTACATTTCACATTAAATGAAAAAGAATAAAAATTTCTGTTTTTTATTATTAATAATTACAGATGAACCTGAGCCACAAAGTTAATCTAGAACTGGATCTGAAAATCTAAAAAATTTCATGAATATTCACAAGATGGATTCCGAGGTCTTTTGTAGTCCCATCATTTTGCATTCAACGTGGACTTTTTTCCACATGCACGCACATTTGAAATTTCCCTAAATCATCCATTTTTCTCCTGTGTGGCATCCAATGTAACCCAGTATAGTGAGAGACAGGATTAATCATCCATTGCATTTATTCAGTTCCCACCAGAGTAATTCAGTAATTCAGTTACAAAAGAAATACAACCTACAGTTTATGGCAGCATTCCAGGATATTGAAAAAACAGCTGATTATTTTCATTCCCACTTTCATTTCCCAGTGGCCCCATTTATGGAATATTTAAGAAAGAGTTATAATTGACTTATTAAACATTTGTAATTCAATTTTTTCTCTCAGAACAGAGATACAGTAAAAAAGAACTAAAACTAATAATAAATAAGCTACATTTTCTGAGATGTATTAATGAGTTCTATACCAGTTCAATCATCTGAAGCTCAGAACTCACTTATCTAGAACTGCAGAGCTAGGGACATAAGTTATGCATAAACCAGTTTAAGTGATCAGAAACTGGTTTAAACCTGTAACAGAACAGAAGTTTAATGCACATAAACCAGTTTCAAAATGGCTGAAACTGGTTTAAGATAAACCTGGTTGAAGGTAGTATCAGATTTAATTGATTTGGGTCAAACCAATTTGTGAAACTTCTGTCCCAGATTCCTTCCTGGTTCAAGTTAAATCGGAGTCCCCCAGCATTCCAGCATGCTTTCCAACCCCGGCTGCGCTGTGCAGGATGGCCCCACCCCTCTGCCCCCTAGCTACAGCAATGAGGGCTGGCTGACAGGGCTGGGGGGAAACAAGCCTGGCTGGGGATGCAAACCAATCTACAAGGGGGTGGGGGGAGGAATTTCCCCCCCCAGCAAACCCCAGCTGGGGTCTGGGGCCAGGGAGGGGGGTTAAACACCCTTTCCCCTACTCAAACTTACTGCTGGCTGCAACTATGGACTACAAATCCCAGAGGCACCTGTAAGCAGGAAGAAGAAATGATGGGCAACCCTGCAGAGTCCTGCTGCTGTAATTCTGGACTGAAAATCCCAGAGACTTTGGGGGCAGCAGGAAGAGGAAGTGAATGGACAGCCAGAGAACCATGCTCTATTGTTCCCCAGCTTCTGGCCTGAGCCACTGCAGGCATGTGACTGCATTTCCTGAATCAAAGATAAATGTCTGTTCACTTCTGTTTCAATTTAATCTGTTCATTTTAGACTAATCTGCAAAGACTGAATTAATTTAGCCTCTGGGCTTTTTGACTGTCTGTAGCTAGCCCTGGAGTTCATTCTATAGCCCTACCTTAGCTAACTGTGTCAAAGCAGGTCATACATTCATTAATGGGAGAACCAGCATAAAAAATAATTGTTTTCCCACAATCTGATATTAAACCAGCCCTTGAATATGTAGCCATCATATGTTTACATTGATTATAAGGTACAACCTCCAGAGTTGGCAATTCTGAGCCTCATAGAACTCTAGAAATATTGGTTTACAGTTGTTCTTTGTAAGCAGTACATGCTTCAGCACACTATTTCCATTTAAAATCTAAAATTGATCTTTCCTCTTTATAAAAATGACTCATAGGTAACTCTGCTTTGGAACTGTTTTTGTCTGTCCAAACAAAATCGCAGCTTGCTCTTCTGACATCTCTTTATGGGTGATTAGCCATCAGACTCATCTCAACATAACCAAAATATCTCTCTCAATCTTTTCCACCCTCACAACCTCTTCCTCAGGCCCCTTACATTAGCCCACCCAACCTATTATCTTTTATACAGTATGTCACCTTCCACCCCTGCTCTGACAGCCTTCCTCATCCACTTGTTAAATTTTTGACCAGTCACTTCTTTGATTTCTCCCAATAAAATTCCTCACATTGCATAGGCATCTACACAGGCACTTTGTTGTCCTCTTTCAAATTCTTGATAAATTTGTTGTCTGTTGCAATATAGAAGTCCTGAATAACTGATGGGTACTTGTTGTGGTGAGATCATTCCCTATCACACTAGTAAGTAGCTTATTAGAGGTTCTTCATCTCCCATCCCTAGAGAATCTCATCCCTAGGGATTCTTCATCTCTTTGTGTATTCTTCAGCTGTCTCCCATCTCAGACTGCAACCTCCCAAATAGAGGGGTGTTTTGATAAATTTTTATACAGCATGTAGCATAAAGGTGTCTTTGACTGTGTCTCAACATTATCATCATCATTAGTATCACCATGTCCTAGATATAATTTCTAGGCCTCTGGGAGGCCTCTGAATGGCCCTGCATGTATTCAGAATCTGCCAGCCCAGATCTGATTACATGGATAATAAAAACAGCAAGTATAATTTCATGAACTTTCTTTTATCATTATAAATCTACAGCAACAAAAATTTACCCCATATCCACTGGGTCCCACTGAACTATTTTATAATTTCTTGATGCACTGGATTTTCCGTCAAGAATGAAATGTGGAACTGTAAAACTCCTAAAAGTACAGAATTCCTCCTTTTCTGGATGTTTATTCAAACCAAGTTTTCATATTCCTCAAGACATTAATGACCATGGAAGGACCATTGATGCAACAAGGGATTATCATAATGTTGTTAATGGGGGCTATAATGATTATAGACAAGATAGTGACAGCTTTTACTCAAGTCCTTTACACTAACAATATTGTACACTGAAAGGACATATTCATAAACTTTCTTTCTGGAATACAAATCTAGAAGCTTCTCCACAAAGGTCCTAGAAGCTTCTCCATGAAATGTGCCCTAGAAATATATTTCTCTTCCCAAACCAAGGAAATGGAGCCACAATTCTTTAGCTTGTTCATATAGTACTTTCTGTCCTTTACTCAGAAAAGGTTGTAAAATTATGATCTAGCCTTATGCTTGTTTAACATATACCCATTTCTTTGTATAGATGCATTTTTTTACCTGTGCGAATGTCATGGTTAACACCTTCCACTGAAATAATGGCATTTGGAATTCCTTTCCCATGTGAATCTCTTACAAGTCCTTTGATGCCCCGATGAACCTATTAATGGAATGAATAAAAATGAAAAGCAAATTTGACTTAAACTTATGCCACTTTTGCAGAAAAAAATAGTTGTTAACTTATTCATTGCCAACTTTCTATTTGCCTAAATATTTTGGATGAAATCTATCACCATATTTAAGAAATTAATTTATCTAAAAAATGTTAAATCTTGGGTTAGATACTTCTGATTTGAGCATGCTAGAACAGGTACAAAGGCACTTTCTCAAACAGGTATGTTGTCTGGGACACAGCTATTTTGGCCATCTCTATTCTACCTTCCTGCCAACTCTGGAGCTCTCACCAAGGAACAAGGTCTGCCAACACACTGCCATCCTTCTTGAGCTGAAACCTAGCAACTAAACAGAACTGGCTTAGAAGAATAATTAGTGCATGTCCCAGTGCCACTCTCAGCCTTTGTTTCTGGGGGAGCCTGAAAACAGTGTTGGGGTAGGACCTTTCTAAATCATCTATTCCACTTAATTACTGTGCTTGGGCTTGGAAGGGGTGAGAGTGAGTTGGCTGCTCCCACTTCTCAGTGGTGGCATCAGGTTCAGTACAGAGACAATTTAAAGGCAGCCATTTCCGTATCTTGGTCAAAACTAATATAGTTTTGAAATATCACTATTAACACTAAATCAACCTTCCAGCCATCAGTCACCTTTGAATCAACTTACAATTTTAGAACGCCTGTAGCTATGAATTTAAGACAGAGCCAGATAAAATAACTAAAAGTAGCAAGTCGAATGCTTTTTCATCCAATTGTTTTTATCAAGTCTTGCACTCTTGTAAAATCTTAACAAGCTTCATTATTTTGTTCACTAAAACTAAAATAATCTGCTCTAAATAATCTGCCAGTGTTTTTTGAAGGGTAGGGTTTCTATCATTAATGCCAAAAAATCATACCATTTTCATAATTTAAAACACAGTTCATAATTGAAACCTTTCTGTGAAAGAATCAGCCGCCACACAGGTTGAAATAAAACATGTTAGTCCAGTGAGATCACAAGGGCTGTGTGGAGGACTGGAAAACTTTGGATAAGAAAATATATTAATGTTTTTCAATGTTCTAAATGATAGTTAGTTCTCTAAGTATATGTACGATGTTGCTCACGTTCTCATTAGCAGAAGCACCCAAGTTTAAAGGTCAAAACTGGACATTATCATTATAAAGGAAGATAATATTAAAGTGCAGATATTCAAAACAGTCAAGGGGACTTAGACAAGTATTTTCCACCAGACCCAAAGGAGGATAAATAAATTCATCGGAAATATGTATATAAATAATTAAATTAATGGAAAATATTTGTATACCAACTGGAGGGTAACCAGTTGCAAGCCATAAGACAGGGACACTGGGGAACTTTGTTACCACACCTCCCTCAGCAGAATCATGCAGTAGATTTTTTTTTTAATAACCTAAGGAGTGGCAACAGTCTAGAAGTTTAGTAGGAACCTCTGCAAATTGTGATCATAAGCCTAGTAGAGAAAAATACAGTGGGCCATAGTAACATCAGGTAAAACCAAATTTTTATTTAGACCTCATTCAAAGCAAAGTATTGTCTGAAATGGCAAGATACTATTCTCTTTAATACCTGTTCCATAAAAACAATCAGGGATTCACGGTTGTTTTCCCATTCTTCAGGTAATTCACTTTCATGAGGATACTTATCACAGCCCACATAGATTGATAACTCAAAGCAGTTTGTGTGCAGATAACTAAAGTCATTTATACCTGTCAAGGCAAAGGAATAGACACCATGTTATAAACATAAAATCTTCCCCCTCTTTAAGCTGAATAGACTTGAGGATTTTTAAGTGAAGAGCAGAACTGCTTAATCTTATAGAGCAAGCATGTGTATATTTGAATTTTGTCAAGAGGACAATTTTGTCAAAAATACCATCAGTATTTTATTTCAATTGGTTCATACAATTGTGTGACTTGAAATAACAACATAGTTATGTATCTAACAAAGCAAAGCCAGAACAGCTCCAAATAGGCAGGTGAAACTTGATAAAAATATTTTGCAAGTAAAGGGGTATATGACCAAAAAAGCTTGAAAAGCCAATGCCCTAGAACTGTAACAACCCAGCTGCTGCATTACAAGTGGGATTCCTTGATATCAGTGTGGGTGGGATACAATTGACTAATTTTTACACAGTTCCAAAATTCGAATGTTTTGGGCCCTTAAGTGTGATCCCATTCCACTCTGCTCAAGCCTCTAAAAAACAGTTAATGCAAAAAGTGGATAGGTCCTCTTCTTGTGCCAGCTTTTATTCGTCTTATTCTTATGGCTAAGATGGCATGTTCCAAAGGTAGGCAAGTTAAAATATTTTCAAGGACTTAAGTAGGGCAGAATACAATCACACTTAGACATGTAAACCTATTTAGGCACCTAATAGGTGAAGCAAGATATACCCCTAAGCATGTTCAGTAACTTTTTAGGTATTAACATTAAAAGCAGATGTGTGGAAGTGCAAATTTATGTTTTTTGCACAGGTAGTAAATATGAAATACCACACTTACTCAAATATAAGATGAACCTGACTATAAGACGACCCCCCCAGTAATTAGATTTTATATATAGAAAATTTATAAATCTGTTATAATTTTCCAGGCATATAATTTAATTACTGGAGATTTACCTTGAATTTATCCCCCTCCAACTGTTACAGTAGGGAAAATTAATTTGGGGGGGTCAGGTTGTTCCCTTGACCTGTGTCCCCCAGCTTCTTCCCTCTGCAGCCCATTCCTCATCTTTACTGTCAGAATCTCCTCTCCTTGAGTACATGGAAGTAAGGATCCAAGCTGAAAACACTGACTTCAAAATAAATATGCCTGTGGTAACTTGCATATAGGCAAATTACTGTGGGTTCTCATACACTTAGTTCATCCAGAATCGATGCATTTTACTCTTCATGAAGTTGCTGCAAGTCTTAGCATAAGTGCTTCATAGACATACTTTCAAGCAGCACTTTTGTATCTACTTATACATTGTACAAATGATGCACAATATTAGTTCAAAGCCAAAAGGCTAATGCTTTTCCACATAGTTCATTGGGCTAAGCCTCATCAGGGTCAACAGCATTTCAAGCTATGGTGACCCCATTGCTCAGCACTTCTCAGTGTGTGTGTGTGTGTGTGTGTGTGTGTGTGTGTGTGTGTATCCAGAAAAGACCCATGTACTAATTAGCCCCCCACTCATGACTGGAACCAAGTGTTCTTGTCACAAATCCTGGGATCCTTCACAAACCTATATGCAGATGATGTGCCAGGCAACTAGATCTGGTTTGCCAGACATTTAAGGCTGGTGAAGAAACAGGAATCATTGGAAATGGGAAAGAAATGTATAGCTCTGCTGTGGGAGTGTAGAGGAAGGCAAAAAGTATTCAATGTAGTGGCTCACCATGATGTGAAAAAGCTCTGAGGAGGACTGAGCACAATGGGCACTACCATATATCTTATTCAGAAGAGCTGTACTAGCCTACCATTGTGGCAGAGTCCCATCAGTGTCTTGGCCTTTTGCCTAAGATTAATCATTTATGGCACAAAGGGGAGGGTATCAGGGCTGGCTCTGGCCCTCCTGGTGCTGGCCTGGCATTGTAGTACCTCCAGGTCTGGTGCCAGTTCCCTCTCAGGGAAATAATTGCCAGTTTTTTTCAGGGCCACACTGTCAAAAAAGAAAGGTTCCCATTACAATGTAATGTTGCATTTTTGAAACAAAGGGGAAGGTGTTGGGGCTTGCTCTGGCCTTCCCAGTGCTGGCCTTGTCTTGCAGTACCTCCAGGCCTAGTGCCCGTTCCCTCCTGGAGAAGCAACGGCCCTTTTTTTTTTTTTTTTTTTTTTAAGGGCAACACACACACACACACACACACAAATAGGCTCCTATCAGTATGTTTGCACAAATATGGACCATGTGTTTTATAGTCATACTTAGTGTTGGCTGCATTTGATCAACTTCATAGTTGGTTTCCATTACTGAGTGCATGCTGCTTCTGGCAGCAGTTTAATGATAGACAATGTGTTTAATGAGGTTTTCTTGTATGCAAATGTAAAGTGAGGAGCTTTTCTTCACATTCTGACTGCAGGGGGAAAATTGTTTTACATTTGAATATATTCAGTAAATGATAAATAGAATATATAGGAGTTGAGGCAATAGAGAATTTGCTGATGACACTAAGATTTGGGGGGACGTGGGCACACTAGAAGGAAGCAACAGGCTACAATCTGACCTAGACAGGTTACAAGGGTGGGTGAATGAGAATAGGATGGGTTTCAACACAGACAAGTGCAAGGTGATGCACCTGGGGAGGAACAACCGGCACCATACCTACAGGTTAGGGAACTCCCCTCTTGTCAGCACGGAGGCGGAAAAGGATCTTGGAGTCATCATTGACTCCAAGATGAACATGGGTCGGCAGTGTGGGGAGGCAGTTAGGAAGGCCAACCGTACCTTGTCATGCATCCACAGATGCATCTCGAGCAGGTCCAGAGAGGTGATCCTCCCCCTTTATGCGGCACTGGTCAGGCCGCAGTTGGAGTACTGCATCCAGTTCTGGGCACCACACTTCAAGAGGGATGTGGACAGCATGGAGAGGGTCCAGAGGAGGGCCACTCGCATGATCAGGGGACAGCAGGGCAGGCCCTACGAGGAGAGGCTACGGGACCTGAACCTGTTCAGCCTCCAAAAGAGAAGGCTGCGGGGGGATCTTGTGGCCTGTTATAAACTAGTCAGGGGGGATCAGCAGGCACTGGGGGAGTCACTGTTCCCCCGAGCACCGCCAGGAGTGACCAGGAATAACGGTCACAAGCTGGCAGAGGGTAGGTTTAGGTTAGACATCAGGAGGCGCTATTTCACGGTCAGGGTGGCTAGGGTCTGGAACCAACTTCCAAGAGAGGTGGTGCAGGCTCCTACCCTGGGGGTTTTTAAGAGGAGGTTAGATGAACACCTTGCTGGGGTCGTTTGACCCCAGTACTCTTTCCTGCCATGGCAGGGGGTCGGACTAGATGATCTGCTCAGGTCCCTTCCGACCCTAGAAACTATAAAACTAAGATTTTGATAAATTGTGTAGTGGACTATAAGTCTGTAAGTCATGGGAAGACCTATCCCATGACAAAAAGCAGTGAACAGCAAGACCCATCATCTTTTTGTGTTTAGTTGTTCAGGGATTTGAGCAGGTTCACACACAAATACCTACTAAGTGGGGAAGAATCTGGTGCTGTGTCCTATGTTGGGCTCAGCAGGAAAAAAGGAAAAAAAAAGGAGAAATATTTTTATTAGACATATGTCCTAACCAAAACTCAAGAACTCCTCGCCTCTGAACTTTGATGAAGCTCCTGTCGAAGCCCACACTTCAAAGCTAGCTCTGATCTCCATAACTAGCCAGTCGAAAACCCTAGATTTAGTACCCTGAGCACCAGAGAAAATTGTATTTAAATCCAGATCTCTGATTTCTCTCCATTTTCTGCACATCTCCACTGATTCTTGCAAGCATCCCCCTCCACGGAATTTCATTTATCTGTGTTCTCCACACTAATATACATGCCATGGGGCAATGGCTGAGTGTAGCAGGATAGGAGGAATGAAGTTGCATTTCTCATCATCCAGTAAAATTTATCATTAAAAATGTTTTATGCCTAAGAACAAAACTGCTTATTAATTATCATTAATTGCTTTCTTTTCTAAAGGCAGAGATTAGCAGGAATTATAATCATCCAATATATCTGATGGCAGAGAATAGAAAAATTTAGTCCAATCCAATTACCATACAGCAGCAGTCAAGTATTTAATGAGCCCTCAGTGCCTTCTGCATGCAGAGTAGGAGGATTATATAACATAGATGTTAAGTTTTTATCTGTTTGTTGATAGGGAAAGATTAATATATGAGACGATGGCATATGCTGCTCTGCATAAGCCTATTTCCTTTCCATTTGAGAAATAGTCACAAATATTTTCTCTTCACATACTGTATTTCATCCTAGCTAATCTATGGTGAAATGTTTTGTATTACACAGTAATTGCTCTGTTTGAACAAGTCTACTTTAGATAATGGCTTAAGTTGCCAAAAGCAACTATTCATATATTGTCTGAAAACCCAAATCCAACATTAAAAACACTGGAACTAAAAAAATTAGATCCGTATGCTGTCTGGCTTACACAAGGCTCATCTGATGTCTAGATGCTGTATACAGACTAGCTGAAGAGAGCATTTCATTTCAGCCTATATGGCAGGGATTACTGTAGTTACATAGTAAAGGAACTCCTTGTTATTGGATAGCTGCAGAAGGTGTTTTGAATGAGCAGACTGCTTCAAGGGTAGATTGGGGGAAGGAATGAACAGTGAGTTCAGCTATTGGGCTAAAGAGAAGCAGCCTCTAGATAATATGCTGGGATGTCACCCAGGGGACAGAGGTTAGTTAAACAGCCATGTAAGAAAAGTATCAGTGCTGTACAGCAGGGATAAAAGGGGCAGAGTTGAGGGTATGACCTGAGCAGAAATATGTGACTCTAAAGAGCTGCTATTACAGGCAAGCATGCCAATCACTTGCCACAAATTAGTATTCACAGTTTCAGAGCTGAATTTAACTCAGGGTATCTGATTTTATTAATTTGGAAAAAAAATATTTAGGGTTTGTGATTTCCTTTTGCATTTGCGATTCTATGTACAGGAATGTCGGATATGAAAGTCAATATTTCCTAATGCTCGCAAGTGTTATCCCCAATTCCTTTTTTTTTATTGTAGCAGAAACTACAGTGTCACTACAATCACACTACAGTGTCGCACTACTGACCTGATTCAAGGACACTGAAATCAGTGGACATATTTCCATAGATTTCAACGGGCTTTGGATATGGCACTCTGAGAAATGGAATATAAAAGATTTTCCATGTACATAAATAGAAAATAATTTCATACAAGACATTGATGAATACTACATGTATGAACCCTCTTCATCAATTCAGACTGTTTGCAATAGTCTTCTCATGTAGGTATTCGTTATTGTTATCATTTAACTCATAGAATAGTGAGTCAATAATTTTTTATTTCAGTTTTGGGATTAGCCAGCTCCTTAGAAGTCAAGGTAGCCTCATAATATGGACATTGTCTTTAAAAAAAGCAGCTTTTTGGAGACCAGACCCTGATAGAAATATCCAGGTCATTAATGTAGCCTTAAGGATCATAGGCACAGCTCCCAAGGCATCTCTGACAATCAGCTCCCAGGGTTCTTTCTAATTCTGTCTTTAGGGGTTAGAGTTCTTTTCTTTTTCTTTCTCTACTAGTTGTTCATTGCATGGAGGAGCAATATCTGTAGTTGTGACTTTCTATCCATGATCTTTAGGGAGTACAATCCTGAAGCCTTCTGAAATAGTCACGTGTCCTGTTTTATGATTTTCACCCATCTACCCAATTTACCATTTTTCTTTAACTGCTTCAGGTTTATGCTCCCTAGATTTCTGATCTCTCACAGGACAATGGTATTAGGCACAAAGGAGGACACTGGCTAGGCCTTGCCCAGTAATTCCCTTTGTGCTGACACTAAACAACCACTGACAATAGGCACTGCAATCTCAGTAGATACGTTGGATCCTCTGCTTATGTATGTAGCTTCTTTGGTTTTTCAAAGCTGGGCATCCTGATCAGCCTGTGTGAAGAGCCCAGTCCTGTGCATCCACAATAAAGGCTTCCACTGAATATTTTAGAAGAGTCATTCTCATTTTCATTAATAATAATAATCAGTAAACGTATACATTTTATCATTAGTATAAATGATATGTTATTAATACTGATCACTTACACACTGTTTTTTGTCAGTAAATCTCAAATTACTTTCCAAAGGAGGTCAATACCATCATATACATAAGGTAGAAAACTAAGTCAGAATGTCAGGAACTTGCAGAAAGTCTCCCAGCAATCAACTGTAGAAACAGAATAAAACTCTGGTCCCCTACAGCCTTGTTCTGTGCTCTGAATTTGTGGAATGTGACTAGAAGTAACATTATAGTAATATTTTAGTACAATCTGAAAATTATCTTAGAAAGTTCATGATAATATCTTTGGAAAAGGAACATAAAAAATTGTGTGAAGCACTACCTAGGAATATAACAAATTGGATAAACCGAATCCAATAGTAACAATTATCTATTGGTTGTAAGTCAGATAGTAAGCATCTATGCTGCAGCCAGCTACTGACTGGTATAACTGTTAACAGCATGGCCAAATTCATCTTTGTTGGATCAATTCATAATCAGCACTTCAGAAAATTAAACTCATAAATTTAATAATTAAACAGTCAACTTTGGATTTTGAGTTCTTTAGAAACTGCAAAAAACATGAACACTTATTTGTGGGAACTTTGTTATTATTCAAACAGCCCATCCTTTTTTTCTCCCTAAAATCACACGTTAATTTTTAACATAGTGAAAAAATATTTGTAACTGAAAAGTTTTTGTTTGGCTACAGTCCCTATAAACCAGACAGCATTAATTTTGCACAGTCCAATGTGAAAGCAATAAAAGCAGCTTCCAATATTTAGAAATGTTTATAAAGTAAGACTGCTTGCAAATAAGAAGCAAGACCCAACTATAATAAATAAAATGGGAGATACAATTACTTGGTATCCATTTAATGTACTTATTACCATTCAAGAGATGGCAAGTAGCCATCTATGATCCTTTTATTAACTTCACAGACTGGGAATGTAAAAACAAGTGAAGATTTTGGACAAGGGGCTGAATATCAGTAGTGTGACCTTGCAAGAATCTAGGTGGGTATTTAAAAATATTTACAAAGGGCAATTGAGGTCAATTACTATTGCAATGTGCTCTCAATTGGGCTTTATTACAAATGATCCTTTGGTTGCAACCATAGTAGATGATAATATCCTGTAAAAGATAAGAGTGAGAGATTTGGGTTTAGTCTATGATTTACTCTAGCTGCTGAAATGCCTTCAGGGGCAATTCCAAGTTTTAGCACAAACATATAAAGTCCTTTCTAAAATAAGACACTGAGATTACTGTGTTGGCTCCTTATTACATCGCAAATGCAGTGAGGGTCACTTTGAAGTCAGGACTTTGTTAGCTGAGGGTCATTTGCATCCTTTACAGCCCTGTTATAGCCATTTTGGGAGCTAGTTCTTTGAATTCTGGCATTGCTACTGCTTGTTTCCACCATCTTTTGTACGGCAACGGAAACTTCTGTTGGTAGAATAGAATGTTTATCACTGACAGATTCCTTCCTATTGATGTTTGGGGATGGCCAGATCTTCTGGATCAATTTTAAAGTTGATCTAGACTGTATGACACCTGCTACAGTTCACTTGTGGCAGGCAGCCTTTAGATGTATTGAATAAATAAGATATGAAATGTACAGCTTTGGAACACATCAGCAGTAAACCAACTATTTACAAGGACATTTTCTGACAACTGTGTGTCAATCCATAGAAACCTTATAGAATGCAAAAGGACAGGTTTCATTAAGGCTGTACACTTTTCAGCATAGGTGTTTAACTACCAATAACATTGTGACTTATGCTATGCAGTTAAGGTGTTATTACATTTCACAGATTGACTCTACAATGAATCATAGACAAAGTTTCTAAACACTTACTTCCTGCAACTGTATGCCATGAGGCCCCATTAACAGTCCCATCTTCCTTCTGGAAATCCTCTGTGTGACACACTCTCCTTCGGGCGTCTGTCATCATTCGGTGAGTGGAGGCATATGAATATGCTAACCACCTAAAGACATGGTCATCAGGGGTAGGTGTGTGTTCCTGAGTTTTCCGTATAGAACGGACCATGTCATAAGGGTATGCAACCACCAGTTCTCCTCCTTGTAAATTGCCACCCAGAACAAATGGGATTTTTTCCATCCATGCTATTATTGCCCTTGTCTCAACAGCTACCTAAATGGGAAAGAAACAGAACTTTATCTGGAGCCATGAAATTCAGTAGTCCCTACTTATTTGGAGATTGCCTCAGGAAATGTTTAGTTATGGATTAGGTGTAATGGGTATGTTTGGCCATTGGAAATAACCCCTGTGAAAGACCATACAGAAATTATTTTTACTGCAGTATTAGCAAATAGTTGCAGTTAACACAGGCCATTCTAATGATTTTGAATAGGACATGCTGTTTGATTTGGTAGTTAAGAGAGGTTTTTTATTTTTATTTTTTCATATAATAACCTCAACAGAAAACTTAAGAAAATATGCCTTGTTGACAAATCCTGCCCTTTTAATAGAGCTCAGAAAGCTCTGGATAAGTCTAATTAAAATGGTAGAGTATTCTGTCTCTTCAAAATAAATGAAAGATTCCCAGAGATGGAAACAAACACTTATTAATTAATTTTAGTGTAATTACATATAAAAAGAAGCCTATTAATTTTGCATAGGGTGAGAGAGAAAAAAATGTTTTCATGTGTACTATTATTTGCACTAGTAATGGTCTACTGTTAATGGTCTCTCTGGGGGAAAAGAAATAGGCTCTTTAAAAATTTTTAAAGTCTATCTCCTGATGTTTCATCCCTAAAGCACCTCCCCCCATTTTCTGTGTTTCCCTTTCTCTCTCGAGCTACTTCCACTTACTGTAGCATTTTCCGACAGGTACCATTCTGGAATTGGAATATAATGATTTGGGACCTTCCTTGAAGCCTTCTTTCGATCTTCAGCTTCCCACAGCAAGGTGTTTAAATCAGGGAAATTATTGTTGATATCAATACCATCTTGAGTCCAGCGTCCTAAAGACCAGCCTCCTAATTCTGAACCCTGTGACACAAATTTTCAATCAAACTTTTGTTATATTGTACACCTTTCAGTAAAGGCAGAAACTCAAGGTATTTAATATCTGTGGTTGGTTAGGTTCCCATTACAGTATTTCTAGTATTAAAGGCGCCTATGATGCTGGCCTAATTACAACATGGCCAATTTTGTTTTGTCTACCAAATCTCTTTGTTGTAGTTCCAGCTGGATAAATCAATGTATTTTTTAATTCTTGGTTTATAGTTTTATGAAATGTTGCTATCTATACAGAATATTAGTCCCCAGTATGGGACTTCAGTGACGTATGTACTTCAGTAATTTTATTTGGGTAATTTAATTCCAACTCTGGTGGTTTATGGGCAATTGTAAGTAATGGAAGCTGGAGGCTGCATAGGGATGATCCCACAAGTTGAAGCTGTCCATTCAATACCAGTGTTCTCCTGTCCCATCCAAGTCCTTTGTGCCAGAGAAAGTAATATTAATATTGGGGAAACAGTCATATTGGGGAAATCCTCATCAGCTGTTCTAGAACTTGGTTAAGGATTTTTTGGTGACACTTAAGAAGCACACTGTGACCTATGAAAGGCATGCTATGGTAAAGCAACACATGTATTCAAATATACAACAGCCCACATAGAGGAGGCAAAGTGTACAAAGTACTTTGAGGTCCTCAGAAATGCAAGTTCTGTATTAAAATAAGACTTGATCTTAATTTAAAATTAACTGTCAAGTACAAACCCCCTGCAATATAAATTAAATTATGTAATAACTGGAATATCACTAATCAGAAATTTATTTTATTGACTTCACTGATATCCACATTAAATTATTACTCAAACTGTTATAAAAATATTTCTTGCTTCAATACATTTGTTTTTTTGACCACAATGTTAATATCAGTAACACACAAATAAAAGACAGTTGTAATAATTAAGAATTAAATCAAACATAAAAGGAAGCCTTATTGAGAACAGACAAACGATAAGCAGGGAAGAAAATGATCTGGGTAGCAACCAGAACTGTGCAAATAACTGGATGTGGGGGGGCGGTGCTACATATACTGAAAAACTTTAATCCAAAACAAAATGTTTTGATTTGTTTATATATATTTACCCAAAACTATTAATTAATTTACAAACAGTTTCAGTGGTCTTGAAACCTTTTCATAGATTAAATTCTTTATTTAAAGAATTTCACTCTTTACAGTGAATTTTCACATCTGCTCTCTTTATAACAGGGGCAAGTCTGATGTACTGAAATTTACAGAAATCTAGGGCCTGTTGTGCTTTTGACTGCTTGTAGCACGGCACTAAGGTGCCTGCTACTTGGAGAGCTGGGATAACTCCACAGGTACCAGTTGCTGGGGCAACTAGAGGGAGTCAGGGACCCACACCTGCTAGCAGTCAGCTAACCGGAAGGGGCAGGGCCTGGCTCCCATTGAAACCCCAGGACGGAGGCCAGGCAGGAGTTTGCTGCTGGCTGCCAAGGGAGAAGGAGCTCTGCCTAAGTGAGTAAAGACGAGAGGCTGGACTGCACGAGCAGGCTGATGCTGGGGGAGAGATGGAGTACCCATGGGGTGGCTCGAAGGATGTTATAGCTAAGCAGCTAGGATTTATGTTATAGCCCAGGGGCTTATGTTTCGTGTTTGTTGTTTACAGTGGAGGTTTGGGTGAGGCTATTAGGGGTTGGAGGAGGCCTCATAGGGAACCCACAATGGTGTGGGAACCCCACCCCCAGAGAAGGGGGCAGTGAGAAGCCCCAGAAGGGGGGCAGTGACCACTGAAAACCAGAAAGGCAATGTTAAGATTGTGCCGACCCTGAGCACCAAAGGGGCGCAGTATCGGGAGCATGCCAACTCCGAGCACCAGCATAGGCATAGTATTGGGTGTGTGCCAACTCCAAGTGCCTAGTAAGGCAGCGAGAGAGAGGGGCTGCGAAGAACCCGAGCGCCCAGTGAGGCGCAGCAAGAGAGACGGGCTGCGAAGAGCCTGAACACCCAGTGAGGCGCAGCAAGAGAGACAGCACCCAGTGAGGCACAGCAAAAGAGACGGGCTGCGGAGAGCCCAAGCGAGAAGTGTCAAGTGAGACCAAAGAATGTCCGGTACGTCAGTGAGGCTTGGGACATGGTACAGGGATGGTTGGAGCCATGCACAGTCCATAAAGCCGGGGTGCATGGCACACCCAGTATAGAGACAGAACAAGTAATAGCAGGAGAACCGTGGCCAAGAGGACGAAAGGCAGCCTCCCTTTAATATATATAAGACCAAGAAGTGGTGGGCGAGATTCAAGGTTGCTTTTAGGTAGCTTGGCATGGTACAGAGGGCAACTAGGGGAGAGCACGGCGACCCTAGGATGCCCCTTCTGTTACACTACTACTGTAGAAACCCTGATAGTTGTCCTATCTGAATCTGATGAACTTCTTGGATGTGGATATCACAACTCTCTATTTTCACAAACTGAATTATTACAATACACTGTACGATAGACTTTCCTTAAAAAACCTGCTGTAAAATTTCAGGTGGGTGAGATTACAAGTATGTGTTTTGCTTGGCTCTCTTCTCATAGGGAATACATTATATACGAGTTGCACAGGCTGCACAGATTATTACCAGATTTAAAATTCAAATTGAAAGTGTACCTGTTGATCTACACATCTCATTATGAAGTAAGTCTTGGCTATCTTAAAGACAATCTGTTAGCAAGGGGTTGTCCAACTTGTAAGGAGTGGGAGCCACATGCTGAGTGTTCACTAGAATCAACAGGCATAGTGTGCCAGGGCTGGCTTGGCGAATGGGGTTTTGTTGCAAATCTCAATGTATTTCTGAACACTCTAACAAAGTTGGGGCCACCAGAAACTGGAGAGAGCCAAGCTGGTAGTTTTGGAGATACCAAAAATGCCCTGCAAGCAGACAGTCATGGAAGATGGTTCAGGCCCTTCTGAGTCCTACAGGACCTGAGCAATGAATGAGTCCTAGGGGATCAAGGAATGGAGTCATGTCATTAGGTCCTAGTTTACCATGACTCTGACAAAGTTCTTGGGGCTCAGAATGGTGGAACAGGTTTCAGGATAGAGTTCTAAATGGTCACCCTTCTAGAACAGGGCATCTGTCTAACCATGTTTGGTGCCTGGACAGTAGGTGACAGTGAAATTGAACCATATAAAGAACAAAGACCAACAGATCTGTCTTGGTTTAAAGTTCATGCAGTTTGCAGGTGTTCAAGATTCTTGCGGTCAGTTAATACCTGGACCAGGAACTGAGCCCCTTCTAGATGGTGTCACCATTCCTTGAATGCAGCATTGATTGCTAGGAGCTCCTGATCCAAGATATTATAATTGTGCTAAGCTGTGGTCAGCTTTCTAGAGAAGAATGGGTGGGGGAGCCCCTGAAGACCTGATGGCTAGGCCAAGATAGTTCCAGTGGCACAGCTGGCAGTATCTGTCTCCAATAGGAATGGCTATGTTGAGTCTGGGTGAATTTGGATAGGAGCTGATGTGAAGGCAATTTTAAACCCCTCAAAGGCAGCCTGGACCTCTGGGGTCTGGATAAAGTGCATTCCTTTCTTGAAAAGAGCAGTGATTGAGGTCACCTGTTTAGGGAACCCCTTAATAAATCTTCTTTAGAAGTTGGCAAAGCCAAGCAACCACTTAACCCCACAGATATCCCCTTGAGCGTTGCCACTCTATAATGGTAGAGACCTTCCTCAGATCCATGGATAGCCCCTCCAGTATAATGACATATCCTAAAAACTCAGTAACTGTTTTATCTAATTCACACTTTTCTAATTTTGCATGTAGACTACGGCTCTTTAGTCACTACAATACCACTCAAATATGGCATTCGTGGTGGCTGGGGCTCTTGAAAAAATTAAAATATAAATCAGGTAAATTACCATGAATACATCCAGGGTATCTTTGAAAACGTAATTCAAGAAATGCTGAAATGTTGCCAAGGCATAAGAAAGCCCAAAGGGCATCATGAGGTACTCAAAAGAACTGTATTGTGACCATAAGGCAGTCTTCCATTTGTCCCCTTCATGAATGCAGCTGTAGCCCCCCCACCCCCACCCCTGAAGGTCCAATTTAGTAAATATCTTGGTGGAATGAAGCCTGTCTAACAACTCTTGAATTAACAGAAGTGAGTATTGGTTCCAGACACTAATCTGGTTCATTGCTCTATAGTCTACACAGGGGTGCAGTGAGCCATCATTCTTAGTCACAAAAAAGATAGGAGCCCAGACTGGTGACAGAAGGGCTGAATAAACCCTTTTTGTAGATTCTCTGTGATGTACTCTTTTAGAGCCTTCAGTTCAGGCTCCTAGAGGATATTTGCCCAAACACAGTCCATAGCCCCAGTAAGATATCAATGAACCAACTGTATGGGCAATGTAGAGAAAGCTGGTCCACCCTCTTCTTACCAAATACATTAACCAGATCTCAGTCTGGTAGGCTGGCAAACTCTGGGGGTGCAGGTTTAATTCTGTCTGCAGACGGCATTGGGTGCTCTACTGCACTGGCTCCCCACATGATCTGGGCTGTGATCTGGGGTCCTAGAAACACATCCGCTTGCAGAAATTGGAACCAAATTGGAATTCCCTCTGCCTCCCACAGAATATTGGGGTTCTGGAGAGAAAGCCAGAGGGTTCCCAAGATAATTGAAAAGTGGGAAGAATGGATCAGGTCAAAGCAAAGAAATTCCTAGTGCCCTCTGTTGCATACTTCCAGTTGGGCCATTTCCTTAGTGACAGGTCCCGAAGGTAATGTAAACCCGTTCACTGACTCCAGTACATCTGGGGTGCGTTTAGACCTGGCTGGAATCTGGTGCTGGGGGGAAAATGCCAAATCCATCAAGTTCCCAAAGGACCCTGTATCCAGAAGAACTGCCTAGGAGACATCATCCATGGCTGGGTGATGCAAACAAAGGGAAACCAGTAAGGGTAAATCTGGTCTCCTCATGGTGACAGAGGTTATTACACAAGATGGGTGGGGGAAAAGTGTGGGGTAAAAAGCTAGCCCAGCCTTTGCCCCCCTATTGAGGCATGGTCAACTGTTTTCCCAGCAATGAAACTCAAACTACCTTTTGGGGACAGGTCTGGGCAAAATGCCCCACTCTACCACAGTAGAGACAGAGATCTCCTGAGTGCTGGTTTTTTTTCAGGGGACAGCCTCCATCTGGTTGCCTCAACTTGCATAGGCTCTCAGGGCAGCAATATAGGTATTTGTGGGTCCCACAGGGTGAGACCCATTTCTCTTGCTGTCTTTCAAGCAAACATTGATCTTAATAAAGAGGTTAATGAGGCCATCCAGGGTCACTGGAAGCTTGATTCAGGCCAGCTCATCTTTGATAGACCCCCCTGAGGCCTTGGCAAAAGTGGAAATGCTGTGCAGCCTCTTTCCACTCTGCATCTGGCCAGGAACTAAATTCTGTGACATAGCTGGACGCAGGGTGGTGGCCCTGTTTCTGGGTCTGGAGGACCCATTCTGCTGTGTGTACCCAATTTGTGTCCCCCAAAATCTTGGCCATCACCCCAATAAACACTTCAAGTTATCAAGGAGGGGATTTGAGGCCTCCAAAAGAAAGCTGTCCCAGGATGAGGCATCTCCAGTCCGAAGACTGATTATCAGCTCCACATTGGCTGTGTTCGGGAATGCAGCCTGAAGGCCAGGTCTTATAAATCCCTGAAACTTACAGGGGTCACCACCAAATTTGTCTTGGGTTCAGGGTTGTTGGGACTGGCAGGCTAAGCAGCTGACCCTGAAAGAGGAGTGTTCTGAGCCTGCAACACTGTGATCTGAGTTTGCAAATTTTGAAGTATGGCCACCAATTAGGTATGGAAATCTGACTGGATAACCAGTCCATCCTACAGTGACCCTGCCAGGTGATTGGGCAGATGTCTGGTGGAACTTCCTGGTGGAATTTGTCACAGTCCACCAGGCCAGATGTCTTAGTGGGCAGAGTTGGGCATGGAGCTGGGGGTGGAAGGATTAAAGGAAGCCACAAGTCAGGAGCCAAAATGCCAAGCCAGGGTCAAGAGACAGGAATCAGAAACCTAGTTATCAAATCCAAAGGATAATCCACAAGCTAAGTCTCAAAGTAAGCCAAACTGGGGTCAGGAGTCAGGAAACAAGTTTGTGGGGAGAATCTAAAGGCTGAAATCCAAGAGCAAGCTGGAGGCAGGGTCAGGAACCTGGGAAACCAGAAATGTCACTGGGATAGAACTACTCAGTGACTGAAGACCAGTGTGTTGTGCAGCAAGGCTCAGATGCTAGAGGAGTTCCTTAAATGCAGCTCCAGAACCAATCAGAGGGAAGGGGCTGGGGGTCAGCTGGCCTTGATTAGTAGGAACTGGGTCAGTGCACTTAACAAGGGCTGTAGAGCAGGAGCTTGCCTGAGCCTTACAGAGCTGATCCAGGGGGGCCACACCATCAAGTGCTGTAGATACCCACAAGGTGCATGCTGCATGCACACATGGATGCTTTCCTCCAAGCCTCCACTGCACCGTGTCCAGCACCCTACTTCCCCTTTGGCTTTCTATACTGCATCGGTGCTCCAGGTTGCTGCCCCACCCAACACTGCAGGCTGTGCTGTGCAGCTTTGCCTCATCCCTTAGGACAGAGGTATGCAGCAGAAGCCATAGAAGGGACGGGAAATCCCAAGCCTCAGTTACTACAGCAGCTGCAGCAATAATGGCAACAGTGGCTCATTGGAAGCCTGAGAGGTACGTGCTAACCCTTCATTAGTTCCTTGTGACTCACAGGCCATCAGCTGGGCAGTCCATGTTAGCTCATACACCACCCCAACAGCTACAATTAATGCTGAATGTTGCTTACATCAGCTGTTACCAAGTAAAAGCTAAGCTCAGTTCAGCTTTTCATTTTGGTGTGCTACTTCTGTGGGCTTTGTTCATTTTGATTGCTTCCACAGTATATTTTTAATTAACTTGATAATGGGAGCTTATTTTACCAATCTAATAGCATTATGTTAATTTATAGCTATGTTGATAATCATATTACCACTTCATAAGCCTTTTCATATCCATCTGGATTGACTGAAGGGAGGAGATGAATTCTGGTATTCTCAATGATATGTACAATGCGTGGGTTCCCAGCCAAATATTCCTGGCACATAAATTGCATTAACAGAAGAATTAGCTCACGTCCAAGCACTTCATTTCCATGAGCTCCTGCAATATACCGAAATTCTGGCTCACCTGTTGACAAAAAAAGCCAAACAACATAAATGTAGTTAGAGCTCCAAACCAAGAAACCAGTCCGTTACTCACTAGTGTCAATGAAAAATCTTTCCATTAACTTTAATGGCAAGGTTAGACCTGCCCTAATTCCACATAACACAGCTGACATCTTTTCTACCTCATTTATAAAATGTAATTTTACTTCTCTGCTGTTACTATGCATTACTTAATTATAAAGTGATAAGATTTACAGCAACCATGTAAAACATTCAGGAGACATTTGCCATTGAATGAAATGGTAATTAAATTATATTATTTCGTGTTTTCTAAATATAATAAAAAGTTCTTTGTTAAAAAAGCCCACTTTACAAGTTCTATGCTTTTTAAAAGAGCATGTGGCATCTCTCTCAATGGTAGTATTTTTGGAATGCATGTGTATTCTCGTGAAGGATATATATACACATTACAGTCTAACAGTACAATGTTTATGTCTGACCCCACACAGTCTTTTTATAGTCATTAATGTAACACAATGATTCATGCTTATTTGGAAAAGTTTTATTAAGTGCCACAATATCTGTAGTTCTTTACTGCATAGTTGAGCCAGGATTATAAACTGTTATTGGTTAATTACCCAAACAATGTATTTCATTGTCTTGATCTATAATAAGGATCACCAGCATTGGGTACTATATCATTTACACCTCGTGCCTCCCACAGGCAGCAGTGGGGGTGTGGCGGAGGTGAGTGGGGACCGCCTGCAGGCACCCGTGGTGATGTCAGCAGCAAGGATGGGCCAAGCAAAGATCGACTGCAGGTGGCCACAGCAATGTTGGCGGCAAGGGATGGTGGGTGGCAATCAGTGACCACCCGCAGACACCACCAGCAGTGTCAGTGGTGGCCAATCTCAGGGGGTATACGTGCACCTGTGTGCACCCTCTACACATAGCCAATGGTACCCAGTGGCCAGAAATCTGACTGATTTTACAGTATTTGGAACTTTTCCACCCTTCACAAGTCACTAGGCTGGGAAATATGAAATGAAAATGTCATCTAATGCATGACATAGTAGTGTACATTCTGCATATGAAAACCAGATTTTTCCAAAAGCCTCCACAACTATGCTTGAAATATTTGTGGTTTCAGCCATTTGTATGTGGTGATTTTCTATTCCAATAAAGGGTTCTGCACAAAGAAACAAATCACACTACACTGGCAACAGTGGAACACTAGTTATGAAGGCAGCCCATGAAAGTTAAATGAACTGGATGAGTAAGTGGTTACGCTAATAGGCTATGGGACCCTTTGCAATTAGGTCACTAGTCCAAGTTTGGCCAACTGTCTATGATGACTGGCATTCATTACAAAGTTGGAACTGTTCAGTGGCATATATGAAATGAGCTGGTAGTCTCAATCTAAATCTTAGAAACAAATTATTCCATGAAGGCACCTGAATGTAAATGGTAGTGTGAAGGTCCATTGTCTGAGAGGCAACACTAAGATGTGCCCAGAGCTCTGCATTGTGCAGGAATAATACACATTACTTTTTGGGGCACACACTTGACCAGCTTTTCAATAGCCCATTGTCACCCTTGCTGATCATCGCCACAGAGGGTCCAAAAACCAAATGGATGGACACTACTACCCTCAGCCCTGGACACTGTACTAATCAGCCACACTAATGGGGCAGTATAGGGAAAGCTGACCAGCCCTTAGTTGTAATAGACATACAAAAGGACAACTTTAGTCTTGAAGGCTTTCAGCCAATCATGTTACACAGTATTAAAATCCACTCTGCCTTCCCTTATATTGTAAAGAGTATAACTCATTAGTATTTATGAATTTGATCCTACTTTATAATGACTTCTATTTATGTTCAACCACATTTTCTCAAATTAGAAATATAACATTGAGGTTCCGCCCACATATGTTTGAAATTCCTGTTGCCATGAACATGATTTCATCAGTGATAATTGCTGCAGACACATGGAATTAAAAAAGCACCACCCTGAAATAGATTTATAAGAATATAATCCTAACCAACTTCATGTTCTCCTGGGTTGTCAGAGATTTCAGCAGCATACAGTTTTAGTCCTTGGTGGCTTTTTCCAATGTTGTAAATTCTTGTGATGTTCGGACACATTTCATTCACAGTTTTCATCAACTGTCAAAGAAAAAAATATATATTTACATGTAATATGTCATAAAATATATACCATGTTGATTGTACCTCATTCAAAACTGGATGCAAAGGAAAGCTACTGCCTTCATTTTCGTTTCTTTTTAAGGTGTGAAAACCAAAGCTGAAGTCGGGCATTATAAATTTGCTGGCACAGAAACAATATTCATTGAGTTAGAACAAGTGTCTGCTGGAGCAGCACTGCGTGGGTGCAGTTCAAAATCCTTCTTACTCATCAGATTATTTTTGTAATATCACTGAAACAAAGTTAAGGATATAAGGTGAAGAACAGGAAAATAATAACAACAGCAACAACAACAAAGCTTAGCATTCCTGGCATGCCACATTTGACATTTATACAACAGTTAAGTAATTAATCCTCTTAACCTCCCTGTAAGGAAGGGTAGGCACTACTATCTCCTTTCTACAACTGGCTCTCTGGCACAAGGTTCAGTGACTAACCAAAGTCATACCGTGAGTTAATAGCACAACAGTAACTGCAATGTATGACTTTCATGATGCTAGACAAATACTCAGTCTACTAGATAACATCTTCTGCAACCCAGTGCCTCATGACTTCCTGCTAGGATTCAGATGCACAACCACATAAGGGGGACCAATATCAGCTACTGAATTACTAGTATCATTTTTAACAGTGCCTCATTCTCTGCTCATGAACAGCCCAAGCCCAGCCCCAATCACATTATAATATGGAATCTATTATCTATTTATGAATGGAAGAAAACTCAGGCTCATATGCTCTCTAAGCAGTAAGATAGTTAGTTAAAATCAGTACCATTTTTTTAAAGTTTCCATAGCATACGTCAGCAAAAATGAGTAAATAAGAATGCCTGCCCAATCCTAACTAATCAAATGCAAGCAAATGCCTCCCCTGAAGTTGTGTTCAATTTAGCCTACTTAATTCCTAAAGTCTTTAAATGATTTATCAAAGTAGAATGAAATAAGATGACAGCTCCATGGAAATTATAGGGCCAGATCCTTAGCTGGGGGGTATTAAGATGGCAATGTTGAAGACAATGGAGTTATGCTGTTTTAATTTAAATAGAGATCTAGACCTGAATCTGCTGTATAAACCTAAGTTTTAAATAGAACTAGCATTGAAGCCTCTGTTGTTTAACATCATTGGCTTCATCATGACCTCTAGAGTTCGGGGTCTCAAAGGCTCCCCATGCTTGGATTGTCCCCAGCACACAATACCTTGCACTCAGGGGGTGCCTGTATATGTGTGGGAATGCTGCTCCAATGCGTCATAATTACAGCGCATCAGAGCAGAGCAGACTCAGTTGAGTCTGCCAGAGCATGCCATTTAGCATGCTCCTGCAGCCTCCATGTCTCGTGTATTCAGCATCCCTGTGCTTCAAAATGGTTGTGGGGGGTGCTTTCACTAAAGCTTATCTAATGAGTTAGTTAAATGAGCTTTAGTTAAAGTGCCCTAGTCGCCATTTTGAAGCATGGGACGCTGAATACATGAGATGCTGCAGCTGCTTTCGAGTGGCTCTTGGAGCCATTCTAATTAAACTGCTTCCACGTGCCCCAAGCATGTGCTAAACCACCCATGGATCCCATATTTCAGAGAGGAAACAGGACACTGAATATCTAAACTTTACTAATGCACGAGATGTTTTCTGCCTGTACCCTATCCAACTGCCAACCCTTGCCTAGTTTTCATGGCAGGGGATCTTGGAATATTAAAAATATTGATTCCCTGCTATTCCTTCAGTAGTCTTGGATGCATTTCCTCTCAAGCAGGTACTTTCAGGATTGATGTCAGAATATTACTACTAGATTTACTCTGAAGGAAATGGAAATATTTTAAAGTAGAGAACAAGCTGGGCCTAGCCTCTAATTCTGTATTTTAATGTCATAACATTCTAAGGTCTCTATTCTCCACCCTGAAAAAAGGGGAGCCCTAAGAATTATTGTTATGTAGAAAAAAAACATATGAGAGCCAGGAAAGTGTTCTCTGACTGATCTTGCTTAACTTCCTGCTCAGCTGTTACTCAGTAGATGTCAAAAGAAATAAAAGGAAGATCAGGGAAAGTGTGGGTCCTTGGTTAAATGGGGGATGCAACCTAATAAACGATGATGCAGAATAGGCTGAAGTGCTCAATGCCTTTTTTCACCTAAGTCTTCACATGCAAGATGAACTCCCAGACTACTTCACCCGGAAGCACAGTTTGGGGAGGGGGTGAGCAGCCAACAGTGGCAAAAAACCAGGTTAAGGACAATTTAGAAAAAGTGGACATATACAAGTCCATGGAGCTGGACATGATGAACCCAGGGGTGTTGAGGGAATTGGCCAATGTGACTGCAAAGCTGATGGCTATTTATCTTTGAAAACTCATGGCAACTGAGAGAGGTCTTGGATGACTGGAAAAGAGCAAATGCAGTGCCCATATTTAAGAAAGGGAAGAAGGAGGGTCTGGGGAACTACAAACTGATCAGCTTCACCTCAGTCCCTGAAAAAATCATGGAGCAGATCCTCACGGAATTTATTTCTAAGCCCTTGGAGAAAGTGATAAGGAATAGTCTGCATTGATTCACCATGGGCAATTCATGCCTGACCAACCTTCAATGTCTTCTATGACAAGAGGACTGGCTCTGTCAATGGTGGAAGAGCAGCAGATTTGATATACTTTGTCTTTAGCGAGGCTTTTGATACAGTCTCCCACAACACTCTTGCAAGCAAGCTAAGGAAGTATGAGTTGGATGAATGGGGTACAAGGTGGATAGAAAAATGTCTGGATCATCAGGCTCAGAGGGTGGTAATTAATGGCTCCATGTCTAGTTGGCAGCCGGTCTCATATGGAATGCCCCAGAGCAATGAAAATGGTGAGGGGGTTGGGGCACATGACTTCTGAGGAGAGGCTGAGTGAACTGGGTTTATTTAATCTATAGAAGAGAAGATGGAGGGGGGATTTAATAGCAACCTTCAACTACCTGATGTGGGGGTTTGAAAGAAGATGGAGCTAGACTGTTCTCAGTGGTGGCAGATGACAGAACAAAGAGCAATAATCTCAGGTTACAGCAAGAGAAGTTTAGGGTAAGTATTAGGAAAAACTCTCTCACCAGAAAGGTAGTAAAGCACTGGAACAAATTACCCAGAGAGGTTGTGGAATCTTCATTCCTGGAGAATTTTAAAAGCTGGCTAGACAAAGCCTTGTCTCAGATGATATAGTTGGAAATGGTCCTGCTTTGAGAAGGGGGTTGGACTAGATGACCTCCTAAGTTCCCTTCCAACTCTAATTTTCTATGATTCTATGTCCTTTCCTCCTGTGAAAAGAGGTGGGTGGGTGTCTAAATCCATATTCTGGTATTCCCCCAACATGGTTCCCCCTGCCTATACTATGCTGCTTAAGACCCATACTATCTGTAGCTGTTGTTGCCACTACAGGTCTATAGAAGCTGTAGGTAAAAACCCTGGTACTGTACATGGCAATGTCTTGCTCAATAACTTTAGAAAAAGTAGTATCAGGCATGCGTGTGGTTTATAGGATTAGCATAGTTTTATGTGGGAAAATATTTTTGTGGCTGCTGCTGACTGATGAGTTTTATCTTGCACATTTCTGAATTCAAAGATTTGTAGGTGAAAATGCAATGAGGATACATTTAATGTTTATGACATTTGGACCTGGTTTGTATTTGTAACAACTATCTTGTTGCAAAAGTATTTGTTGTATGCCAAATACAGTTTGGCAAGTAGTCATAACTGAGTTCAGTTTCAGTATCCCAGTATAAATTTTAAACAGATTAAAGGAAACATACTGTCTCAGTTCATAACATGTGTTCCTAATAAGAAGTAGGAGAAAATACTTTGGAATGATAGCAGTGGCTTTAATTTTGTTGCTTTGATTTTGTTTGTGACAACAGATAAATGAAAGAAGTAAGGATTTTACTGTGAATTGCAATACCAAAGATCTTTTCATAACCAAACTCTACATAATCTTTTGAACAAGTATTGTCGCATAACATAACTCTTTGTTCATAAAGCGCTAATGTAGAAACAATACTGGATGACAAAAGGGCTGACAATTTTAAGAATGGTAATAATTAGATATGTCCAATACCCATGCTACAATTTAGTGAATCTAAGTAGAAATACAATTCATGTGGACAAGGAAGTCATTAAAATTCCACCCATAAAAGGATTCACTTCTATTTATAAGCATGCTGCAAAGGGACTAAAAAGATGTGGTATTTTTGTAAATTTGCTACTTTCACAAACCAATTTTACAAATACAAGAACAACTTCCTTCAGCAATTTGAAGTCAGATGTCATGGCTAAGTACAGACAGTCAAAAATCCCAAGGCTGAATTGATTCAACCTTTGCAGGTTAGTTTAAACCGCATAGATTGAACTGATAAGCAAGCGAACAGGCATTCACCTTTGATTCCAGAAATGCAGCCACATGCTTGCAGTGGCCCAGGCCAGAAGCTGGGGGGAGCTAAAGCATGCCTCACTGCTAGGATGGAGCATACAACTTGGGCCAATGCTAGCCCACCCATCCTGTGAGGGGAGGTACAAAGCATTCTGGGATGCTGGGGGACTGTGAGATAACTTCCATATGGAGGGGATCCTGGACAGAAGTTCTATAAACTGATTTAATCTAAACAGTTAGCTCTGATACTACATCCATCCAACTTTATCTAAATCAGGTTTCAGCCATTTTAAAAGTGGTTTATGTACGCTGAATTTCTGTTATTACAAGTTTCAGCCAGTTTCCAATCACTTATACCAGTTAATGTGTAATTTCAATCCCTAGCTCACGTGAAAAATGCCATGTTATATTTGTTATGAATGATCTAGTTTTGAAATAATTTATCAGCAGCAACAAGTTGTTAGTATTACTGAAGTACTTAAGGGCCTCCAATAGATCAGGACACCATTATAATAAGTAATGTATGAAAATATAGTGGTCACCATCTCAGATTCTACCAGCAAATTCCGCCAGCAATTTGACTTC